GCATAACTGGTCGGAAAACCGTTCCCAGAGAGTACTTATCAGTGGTTCAGTCATGCTGGAAGGGTATATCCAGTGGGGTCCCGCAGGGATCAGTGCTGCGTCCAGTTCTGTTCAATATCTTCATCAGTGATTTAGATAATGGCATAGAGAGCACACTTATAAAGTTTGCGAATTATACCAAACTGTGCACGGTTGCAAGTGTTTTGGAGGATAGGATTAAAATTTCAAAATAATCTGGACAAACTGGAAGTAAATAGGATGAAATTCAATAAGGACAAATGCACAGTACTCCACTTAGGAAGGAACAATCAGTCGCACGCATACAAAATGGGAAACGACTGCCTAGCAAAGAGTATTGCGGAAAGGGATCTGGGGGTCATAGTGGATCACAAGCTAAATATATGTGAACAATGTAACACTGTTGCAAAAAAAAGCAAATGTCATTCTGGGATGTATTAGCAGGAGTGTTGTAAGCAAGACACAAGAAGTAATTCTGCTCTATTCCATGCTGTTTAGGCCTCAACTGGAATATTGTGTCCAGTTCTGGACGTCACATTTCAGGAAAGATGTGGACAAATTGGAGGAAGTCTAGGGAAGAGCAACAAAAATTATTAAAGGTCTAGAAAACATGACCTATAAGGGAAGATTGAAAAAATTGGATTTGTTTAGTCTGGAGAAGAGAAGACTCAGAGGAGACATGATAACTTTTTATGTACTTGAAAACTTGTTACGAGGAGGTGGGAGGTAAATTGTTCTCGTGAACCTCTGAGGATAGGACAAGAAGCAATGGCTTAAATGCAGCAAGGGCAGTTTAGGTTGGACATTAGGAAAAACTTCCTAATTGTCAGGGTAGGTAAGCAATGGAATAAATTGCTTAGGGAGGTTGTGGAATCTCCATAATTGGAGATTTTTAAGAGCAGGTTAGACAAATACCTCTCAGGGGTGGTCTAAATAATACTTAGGGGACTGTACTAGATGACCTCTCGAGGTCCCTTCCAGTCCTACTAGTCTATGATTCATTGGGAGACTACACAGGGAAAAAAACAACAACAAAAACACATACACATTTTTGGGTGTGATTAGGAAAGAAGAAAGAAATTCTCCTGCATACAGTATCAGAATTCTTATGATATCATAAACTTATAGAATCCTACCTAATTAAAACCTTGCAAGTGGTTTTTATTTAGTATATGAAATGTTAAAATAAGAATGATTATGGTGGCCTGAGTTGCGTGGTTGCTCCAGAAATACTGACTGCTGTTCTCCATTTTATCCAATGCTCACTCCCTATGATTAGCTAAGGAGTTGCTAAACAACATCGCTGCTGTTTCAGAATCATAAATTGCTTCCCTCAGTAAGAGATTAACATTGGCTCAGACACTTGAGATCAACACTAACCCTGACCGCCACCCTTGTACATACAGTATCTCTATTTCAGTGCTGTGCCAGCTAGCTTGGCAGTGTAGAAAGTTCAGCAGCTAAAATGCTTGTCAGCCTTTACAGCCTGCTCAAGTTGATTTAAGAAATTGTTGTTGGCCAATCTGATCTCACTGTTGGGAGAAAAGCATTTGTGTATGACGACATATAGCTGGATTTCAGGGAAATCCAAGCTTATTGCTACTTTTTCACACTTCTTATAAGATATTACAGCGAGTAGAAAAGAGAAACCCTATAGGGTCACTTAGAAAAAGGCATTTTTACTATAACTGGAGTTTGAAGCGCCAAGATCACCTTCTGACTCATATTCTGCAGTCTTCTGTTTCATGTCATCTATCACGAGGGAGACATCCTTGTCTCTGGTTTCATTGCATTCCGCAAGCTCATATAAAATATCAACAGTCCGTGAATTCACTTCGTATTGTGGAATGGGTTGATCCCCAAAGGTCCTTTTTAGCCATAAAGTAACCTGCCAGGAAAGTGGGAGTAAAGAAGGTAAATGGTTTAATTTAAGGAAGGGGAATTAAATATCAGGCAAGAGAACTGGAATGTAGAGCCATCAACCACAAATCTTACTCCTGTCTGAGGGGTTTTGTCTACACTAGACTTTTTGGGGGAGGGATCTTCCATTGTTGCACTACCGTTGGTTGTAGCAATGGTAGAAGCGCAAATGTAGACTAGAAGAACAGGGTTCACCCCCAAATTTAGTCTGCTGGTTGGATCATTAGCTTCCCTGGCCGGGTACTGACGGGGAGCACGACATGAATGCTTATCCATGCCACCCTTTGCAACCATGAAGGAGCACATGAAGCTCAAATGCAAAATGGGGTAAGACTTCAGGACAACGCTCTCACAAGACAATGAAATACTACAAGTGGTAAAATCTAACAGTCTGGAATTTCCAATACTATGCAAAACTGTTTGGCATGCTAACATAGATAAGGCTAAACAGTTTCTAAGGTACGTTGTGGATGAATGCAGTTCATGGCCAATTCATATTTAAAGAAATTATTTAAAACCATAATTGGCTTTTAGGCAACCCAGTTACCCCTCCAGCAAGTGGTGTTAAATATAGTTTTTCTTCAGCATTCAACTGTAGCCTTGATTAGAAGCTGTTTGGCTCATCTGCTCTAGCCAGACAAACCGGCAGTACACCCCGTGGCTCCTGTTACCATAGTATCTCAGCATCCCACACTGTTTAATGTATTTACCCTATCAACAGCCCTATGAAATAGGGGGATGTTATTATTTCCATTTTACAAATGAGGAACAAAGGACCAGATCCTCAAACTTCCTCCAGGGACATTAGGACCCTAAATACCTTTAAGGATCAGGGGTCTAAATGACTTGCCCAAAGTCACATAGGAAGTCTGTGGCAGAGTAGGGATTTGAACCTAGGTCTCCCATATCCCAGAGTAGCGCCCTAACCACTGAACTATTCTTCCTATCAGCTTAGCCTGAAATGGTTTTATATTGAGTTTAAATGTGGTTTGAATCCACAGGGAAAAAAGCCCAGAAAATGGGAGACTTAACATCAGCAGTGATTTCAGGTTACAAACCAACCACATGAACACTGCAGCATGAATTGGACACTTCATAAACAAAATCCATGGAAAGAAGTGGGAGATTTTAAAAAGTCATTTCAAAATATCTTTATGAAATCTAAAACCCATTTTCATATCACCCTTGTTCACTTCAACAGACCAAGCAAAACTTGGAGCGTTCAAAAGGCACACTCCTTTTTCTGCACTCCCACCAGAGTAGTATATTGACCTTGCGTTTTGTACCTCTAATTTAATCAGTGGCCTTCATCCTAAATCATACTGGAGAAAGCAAAGTTATAGCCCCGGGGGGAAAGCCAGACCTCCTGGAAACATACAGCAGTGAAGTTTTATTGTAGTGAAATATTACAAAAATTCCAGGGGTCCATTGATGGAGGATGGAATGTATCTTCCTGACAGGAACCTGGCACAACATAATGTGATGCTAGCAAACTAGGTGCCAGCTCCTGACAAAGTCCCCATGTCTCAACGGAACACTGACAAAGATGAGCCAGACTGAATCCAGCTACGTATGTGCGTTAGTATTGTTTATAAGAATGTGTTTAGACTTTATTGAATGCTGCCTGCATTAATTTCATTTATAACATCTGTATCCCACATTGTAAGGTAATATTTGAGCGTTTGTATTGTGAGCCTCTCTGACTGTGTAAATCACCAGACAGTAGAGAGACATTAACCAGTGTGAAGTGCTGGTTTCCAACAGAAGATGTTACATCCTGCCCAACAGCAAAGGTCTGTTGATAACAGAGGGACTATTGTGGGACATTAAAGAGGACAATGTTGGTTGTTCTGTCCCCCTCATTCTAAAGACAAGCCATGCAAGTGGATTCCTCCCATCAACTGAGTTTGCAGCTCAGAGCACAATGGAGGAGGGGAAGAAAGACACATAAAAAGAAGGAACTGGATCTCTATGCTGCTTAAAGTCTGAGGGACAAGGTTTTCTAAGCATAAATAAGAGGTCCACAGCCTCTTAGCCTGGGTTAGTCCTAAAGTAGTAGTTTTCAACCTTTTTTTTATTTGTGGACCCCTAAAAAAATTTTGAATGGAGATGCAGACCCCTTTTGAAGTTCAACCTGTAGTCCGTGGACCCCTACCATAGACGTCTTAGACTGATAACTGACTGAACAGAATACAACTATCAATGTTGCATGTTCTTCGAACGGCATTTGACGTAGTGTGAGAAAGGGTGCTAAACTGTGGGCTTCTATGGTAATGACAACACTTCCAGGTTTTGACCTGTAGGGGGGGCAAAGGGGGAAGGATTAACATATTTTTGATTGAAACTTTATTTTTATAGTCACCTTTTGCAGACCCCTTAGACATAGTCTGCGGACCCCCTAGAGTCCGAAAGGACATATAGAACTTGCTGAATACAGAAGCTTCTATTACCTTTGGAAACTTAAGACTGTAACTCATTTGGGTGTGTATGTTCACCTGCTTTAATTTTATAAATAACTAGTTTCCTTTTCCTACTTAATATATGTTGTACAGTTTATTATAAGATTGGCTACAAGCATCACCTTTGGGGTAAGATCTAATGGTCTTGGATGACCTGGGGTAAGTAAGTGATCCTTTGAGACTGGGTGTAACCTGAATATCGCTGTGATTCTTAGTGTAAGGAACCATCTATCACAAAGGGAAGCTTACTTGGATGGCAAGATAGTGTCCAAGGGGACTGTCTGTGACTGCATGTTAAGGCTGTATAGCATCTGAGGAGCTTACACTTGATAATTGGTTGGTGTAATCTAATTATAGAACTCTCAGCCAATTTGGTGTTTGTGCCCTGCTTCCTAACAGTCTGCCCTGAGGCTGGTACTCCTGTTTTTGAGTCACTGCAGGCAGCTTTACATCAGCAAATCACAATTTTCTGACACATAAGATCTAACTTAATAGTACAGTACCTTAAACCTGCCAAGGCTACCAGCCCAGACATCAATTAAGGCACACTGAATTAGGGCTGACTATTTTTCTAATGGGACTTTGCTTTGTTTTAAACATTCCCCTACCTTTTCTTCTGGTTACAAACATAATAAGAAAGAAGGGTTTTTAGTTTAATGCTCCATACAAATAGGCGGTAGGAAAGCACTATCTAGGATAACATAGGTGTACACCAACCTATGCTACTGAAATGGGATGTGGAATCTGCATCCCCTATTCTTCCTGAGCACAAATATCTATTTCTCTACAAACTTTTGTGCAAAGCACAATGTCGAGTTAAACACAGCTCATAAGCTACAGAGTTCCGATCCCCCAAAATTGTTGAGAAGGGTCAGAGGGCTTCAAGTAAGCCCAAGTGATCCCACCCATCAGTAAGTAATATACAGAGTAGGATAATTATGAATGTACCCCTCCACGTTCCATAGGACAAGTGGATATTTGCGGCACACTTGGGGAGGAGGGAGGCCCTGAGGAGATTTGGGGCACACAGTGGAGAAGTGGGGATTTGAGGCACACACTAGGAGCAAGGGAGACCACAAGGGGAGAATATTTAGTGCACACACTAGGGACCAGGAGAGGCCTGGGATGGGAGAATATTTGGGGCACACACCGAAGAGAGGAGGCCCAGTGGCAGGGGAATATTTGGGGCACACAGTGGGACCGGGGCACAGGCCGGGGGGGAGCATTAGGGGCACAGAGTGGCGATGGAGCATGGGCTGGAGGGGCCATTGCGAGCACACGGAGGGGACAGGGGCCCAGGCCAGGGGTCCACTGGGGGCACACAGCGGGGACAGAGAGGCATTGGGGGCACATATCAGAGACAGGGCACGGGCTGGAGGACCATTGCGGGCACACAGCAGGAACTGGGCCACGGGCCCATTGGGGGACACACACAGAGCATTGGGGGGCACACAGCAGGAAACTGTGGGAAGCCAGGGGCAAACCCCCGGGGGGGGAGCATTGGGAGCGCACAGCAGGGGGCGGTGGGGGGATGGAGGAGTATCCCGGCCGGGCGGACTCGGGCCGGACACGCCCTCTCTGTGGGACTGTCAATCGGGGGCAGCGCCCGCGCGGTGACCGTTACCCGTCTGAGCTTCTCCTCCATCCCGGTGGATTGCGCCGCGTTGAATCCCGACTCCTCCCGCCTCCTTCCCGTCATCCCCCGCGCACCGCCTCAGCCGGCACTGAGGGGACGAGGCCCGCCCAGATGACCTCAGTGCCGCGGCGCTTGCTGGGCGTTGTAGTTCGGAGCGGGTGTCCTGCTCTCAGACCCCGCCCCCTCCCTAAACCACGCCCAGAAGGGACTGACAGGCTAGTGGCAGCTCCCCTTGCCCCTAGAGACGGCACACAAGGGGTCTGGGCTGTGTGACCCTCTGTCTGCAACGAGGGGCCTCGCCTTGCTCAGCCTGGGGCAAGAAGAATGTTGCAGAATTCGCAAAAAAAACATGTCACGTGACAGTACAGTAACCAAGTCCACAGCGGGGCACCTGTCACTGTGATGATGTGGCGACACAGAGTTGTGAAATCTGTCACCATGTCAGGACATGGGTCCTCCGTCCCCTCCGCCCCCCCAAAAAACCCTCTGTTGTATCATGATGTATTGATGCTGTCAGGAAACCCACCACCGTGTCCTGGCGTGGTGACATGGTGTCCCTTTTGGGGATTGTACCATAGTGTCATTGTCAGGAAAACCCATCATCATGTCTTATCTCAGTGACACAGTGCCAGGAAAACCATCATTGTGTTGTCATGTCATGCTGTGATGATATACTTTTGTTCTGAGATTAGGACATAGTGCAGTTAAAAACTTACCGTGTTAAAAATGTGGTTTAAAATGTTACCATGTCATGCCACTGCCACTTCCACGCAGTCTTAAAAAATAACCACTATGCTGTTATATGTGATGATTTAATTCCATAAAGAAATCATGTTGTGCAAAGATTACAAGAAAAAAGGAACTGTGATATCACTATGTATCCACACAAAGTAGTAAGATTGCTAAAACATGTTATCAGGTCACAATAAAATGGAACAATGTCCTGAAAAATGTCATCATAATATAGGATTTGGACATCTTGAAGAAAATAGCATCACACCATGATATGATGATGCACATCTCCTCAGTAACACTAGCCGCTATGAACACATCAAACCCATCCTCCTCTCCCTGCACTGCCTTCCCATAGACTATCAAATGAAGTTCAAGGTCTTGGTCCTTCTCTTCAAGACGCTCAATGGCCTGGCCCAGGGTATCTGAAAGATCACGTAAAGTTCTGAGATGAGGACTGTTGTCAGCAACTTTGCTCCTCTGGTACAGAGAAACTTGACAGTGGAAAAGCTCATCTATGCAAGACACAAAGCTTTCTCTGAGGCTTGCCCAAGACTGTGGAATGAATGCCCCCAGCAATTAAACACCATCATAAACCTCGCCACCTTCTGCTCTAGGTGCAAGGAGCATTTCTTTGACCTTGCCTTCTCCAACAAATGTATAGCAACTTGTATATTTGTTATCAAAAAACATTTCCTAAACAAAACAGTCCACCGCATATACTTCTCCCCCTGAAGGGAGGATGAGACAACAAACCCATCACAGATGTTAGTCATGTGGCTTAATGCACTACTGGAAGGCACTCAGATACTACCATGGTGGGTACAGTAAAGAACCTGAACAGAATACATTAGAATAGCATGTTTTACAGGTTTGGATATAATTTTATGACGGTAAAAAGATCTTTCACTATGCAGAATTGCCCCAGTAAAATCACGACAATCCCTTTAAAATTCCAGACAGGTGGCCACCCTGGTTTAGTATCATACAGATAGATCATAGGTAGGGCTCCGTGTCTGTAAGTGGTTGTGGAAGTCATGAATTCCGTGACTTTCCATGATCTCTGTGACTTCTCAGCAGTCCTGCAGCCAGCTGCACCAGTGCTGCTTGGGTGGCCCCAGGCATCTGGCCCTGGGACCGCCAAAGCCATAGGTGCCGACTTCCCCTCTTTTCTGTGGGTGCTCAACCCTCACCTCTGCCCCCCTCACTCCACCCCTTCCATGAGGCTCCGCCCCTGCCCCACCCCTTCTCCGCCCCCATTCCAACCCCTTCCCCAAAGTCCCCGCCCCAACTCCGCCCCCTCCCTGCCCCTATTCCAACTCCTTCCCCAAATCCCTGCCCCAGCCCTGCCTCTTCCTCCGCTCCTCCACTGAGCACTCCACGTTCCTGCTCCTCCCCCACTCCTGGAGTGTGAAAACAGCTGTTTGGCAGCAGCCAGGCGGGCGGGAAGGGCTGGGAGGTAGGCGGAGGAGCTGGGCCATAGAGAGGCATGATGTAGCTGATATAGATCTGGATCTTTAGTTGCATCTTGTATATTGCCTAGGGTGGCCACTGCTGCATCCCCAGAATATAGGGTGACCAGATGAGATGAAGAAAATATCAGGACACGGGGAGGTGGGAGGGGGAGGCAAAAAAAGAAAAAAAAGCCGAGTGCTGCCGGCCGGCTGAGCAAATTAAAAAAAAAAGTGATCCTGGCGGCGCAAAATATCAGGACAAAAATTGCGTCCCAACCAGAGATCGGTCGGGACGCGGGACAAACAGCTCTAAATCGGGACGGTCCCGATTTTATTGGGACGTCTGGTCACCCTACCAGAATACCAGGCATTCCAGTACTTCTGGGAATGGCATGAGCCCACACTTGCCGGCTTGACCCTGCTCCTGCCAGTGTGACCTTCCACACACTTGACCTCACATGTACTATGCAGGACCCCATTTTGAAGAGCATTTCCTACCTCTCCCATGGACATGACCTTGCATGCACAAAGCATGCAAGGTCACAGTGGTGGGAGGCTAAGTGACGCTAGCGTGACCAGATATCCTGATATTATTAGGACCGTCCTGATATTAGTGGCTTTGTCTTATATATGCAACTATTTCCCCCCCGCTCCCCAAAAAGTGTCCCGATTTTTCACACTTGCTATCTGGTCACCGAGTGCTCTTCAAAATGCCCCTTGTCTGTGATACCAGACAAAACCACGTCCAGTTTTGTCTCAGTACCAGAAAGGGACAAAACCATGGAAAAAGAGGACTGGTCGGCTGAAAACCAGATGAATGACCTGCCTAAAATTGCAGGTGGTATATGTCTATGTAAAGACATTTCCACACAATACTCAGTGGTTTTGCCATACAATTGTCACATTCCCCATGACAAAGAAGTACCTTCACCTGGTGCAACGGAGGCAGCCTTGATGGCCAAGTTTCTACAGAATTGCCAATGCCAAGCTTTCAAAAATCATTAGGTCCTGAAACATCATGAGATTGACTTAAAATTCAGAAAACTTTTTATTTGCCTCGAGGTTTTAGAATCTTTAGGGTGCTCTACGGGCTTTCAAGCTTTTTTTCCACAACCACAAGGGGCTAGAAACGATATAGTGTGTGTGCAGGCACACATATATAGTGTGTCTGTGTGTATGTACATACATATATCTAGTGTGTGTGTGCGTGCACATGTGAACGTGTGTATATGTATGGTGTGCTGTGTATATATATAAATTAAAGCAGAGCTTCTTACAGAATCACATGACTCCAGGATCTGGAGCTTCAAGAAAACCACCAAACAGTGGGATATTATTGTGAGAGCGAGTGACACTGAGTAACAGTGCGGAATGGCCACTATCATGTTGGCTATGGGACAGGGTGGCAGGGGCCACAAGTTAGCCCTGCCCTCTGCCAGCCTGGACTGGCCCCACCCCTTGGATGCAGCCCTTTGCCTGCCTGGGGGAGGGGCAGCTGCCTCTGCTTATGATGGGCGGGGCCATTTCAAGGGCAACTGACCATTTTTTTTTACAATTTCAAACTGTATTTTTTTTTTTACAGGAAATGCCCTAAAAATGGTGAGAAACCCCCGAAATTGTGAAATGAAAAGTGTAAGCTATTACCCTGGGGCGGAGGGGCTGCAAGAACCGCTTCCGGGTCAGGGCCTGTGCTTGCCCCGCCGCGGCGGGGTGGGGGCGTGACCTTCCCGCAGAAGGGGCGGAGCGGAAGCGGCCATTTTGTGCAGAGTGTGCAAGGCGCCGGCGGCAGCAGCAGCTGCAGGAGACACCACCCGCTCGCCCCTCAGCCCAGCAAGATGCTCTCGGTCCGCGTGGCTGCCGCCCTCGCCCGCGCGCTGCCCCGGCAGGCCGGCCTGGTGAGAACGCGCTGGGCGCGGGGGGAGCCGGGCGTACCCGCCGCTGCCGCCATCTTGGAGTCCGGGCCTAGGGTGACATTGAGAGGGGCCCGCGGGGCTGTCTCCTCCCGCTGCCTGGAGCCGGACCCCCGCCATCGTCCTCCTCTGGCTGGGTGCTGCGGGGGGCTCGGCTCCAGCTAGAGCAGGCCCAGCCCGGGTCCCTAGGGTGGGAGGAGACGCGCGGGGGGCGGGAGGGCAAGCGCAGGGTTGAGCTACGGGCTGGGGTATCCTTGGTCCCCCTCCTACCCCGGAGCAGGCCCCTTGGGATCTCGGTGGGGGGTTGGGGTGGGAGTGCAGGGGTCTCTGAGGCTACTCAGCCCCAGGCAGTGACCCTGGTGAAGGTGAGTGGGGGGCTTTGGTGGCTTCCCAGTCTTATTGGCTTGGCATTTGCTTGTGTTAACTTTGTTTTTAGAGAGTCCTCTGGAAGCCTTAGTGCTGCTTTATGTTTTGTGCAGTTTGCCTTTGTAGCACTAGCTTTTTTGTTGTCGTCTTGTACCCGAACTCATGTTAATTGATCTCATTTATGAGGGTGAGAACTTCAGGAGGACACTCTATGCTTAAATTGATTCCTTTCTTTTTTTTAAATCCCAGTTTCTGATAGTGCCCTTTTTAAAATCCTTTTTAAAAAAATCAAACTATCTTGTGGCTTAAAAACCATTATAGAAAGTGATTAAACCCAAAGTGCTGTGAGTGGTAATCACCTTGCTTAAAGCACTTCTGGAAGGTGCTCATATGCTACTGTGTTGAAGACCGTATAGAATCTGAATGTAAAATGCATTAAGTAAATTAAAAATAGGAACTCTTTACTAGCTACTTTTAATTATACTAATCTTGGGCCTGATCCTTCAAACTGTGAAGGAGGCCTTCTATTGAAGTTAGTGGGGCTCTGCAGGGGGTATCGCCAGGAAGCAGCTTGTGAAATTGAGGAATTAG